GAGGAAGAGGAACGAAAAGTGCGTCGATACGTGGTAGTTTTGACACTGCTTACTTTTGAACTTTAGGCCGCTAAGCTTCGGCGAAAGAAACTCAAAGAAGCGCAGTTTTTGGCACAGTTAGAGGCGCCCAGTGTTGCCACATCAGAGCCCGAGAAATGATTACCTTTGCAGAGATTTGCAATGCGTTCAGTTGAGTGAAAAGCATTTCTAGTTTTATGAGAAAAATGCCGTCTATTTTAAGGACGATTTTGCCTGATCAGGCCTTGATTTTCTATGTATATTTTGGGTGCCAAGCTTAAAAACTGCCTGCGATTCAGCTTTTGTCAAGGTGTTCCAAGACACATAGGTATTTTAAATTTTAAGGTATGACTTATACGATGCGCTAATTTTCAGTCAGTTACAACGTGGATCAAGGTGTTCTGCACTCGTTGCGTGCATGCGTATGATGATATAGTCCTACTTTTGAAGGCTGTTGTTTGGGGGTTACACTCAGTGCAGTACTATCACATGAAGCTATCAGGCGGGTCAGGACGAAGTGCAGCATTAAAAGGCACTCGTGTCACACAGCATGGCCGTACATCTCGCTACTCTCGGTATGACCACACCAGCATAGCATACTGTTCCTGTTGTTTAACAATTTCATACCAATTTCTCGGCTGATTGCACTGAAGCAGCGCAAAATAAATTCCTTGCTCAAGGGAATTAGGTTTTAAAACAAATTTTTCGGGCGTCCAAGCTAGCACCTCCAGAATTCGAAGCGGACAACTGTGCCATCACGCCCCAAATCTTTGAGGTATCATAAATGTTCCTCAGAATAAAGAACTAGAAATCCGACTATGTGCACAAGTTTCTTCCACAGTTCCAAGATACATGGCTTTGCTCGCTAAGTGTTCAACGCAGCAACGAACGAACATGACTAAAGTTTATTGGCAGACACGTGCATTTTCACTGCGACGTCGATCTTCAGAACGACTGTCGACTCAGTCGACTACTGGCATCACGGAAATACGGCAATTTTTCGCCTTGGTTCCAAAACAGATAGGAACGCGGCGCGAGCGGTCACCCCCAAAGCGTTAAACGGTTGTAATTAATTATTCTCATTTGCAGCACAATAATCGCAATCGGTCTCGTACAATGAAACAAATAAATAGCACACGAATGTCGGCGGCGCGTTTAGAAGTTTTGTCGTCGTCGCTGCCCCTTAACTGAAGCCGCCTGAACAAGTTTTAAACTAAACCGTTCGTCGAACTGTCACCAAATCACGCACATTCTAGTGCTATCTGATCACGTCGTGATCAGTACTGCAATATACAGGTGATCGGCACATCTTGAAGCTTTTCCCTGCCTTTCAGATCTTTCAACTCAATAATGGTTAACACTTCGGCCACCTTTGCTCCCGCTTTTTGTACAAGGTCGACTGTCGCTCGTAAACTGCCTAAAAGCATTCAAAATTTGCTGTCATAAAGTTTAAAGGCTATTGATGCAAGCAACACAATTGCTTAATTACGTGTTTAAATGTAGTTATACTCATTGATACGGTTTCGGTGTTCAAATCACATTTCAGATGCTGCAAGTGATTCTTCTGCCGATATTGAGACACCGTCATTAACGAGTAAGATAGCTTTTAGCCGTTCTAAAACGACCTAAGATGTGTCCGGACACATGTTCATATACCATGGGGTCTTGGCCTGCCGCAGACAGTTCGTCAGCGTGCTTGGTTCATGCGTCGATAATCTTACTTACAAACAGCATAAAATCATTTATTTCATACACAACAATCAGAAGATTGATCGGCATCGATGCTTTGGTCCGTGTTCCACTAGCTTTCTTTAATGTAGAGATGGTTGAGTTCGGCAGTTCTTTCTGTGGTCCACAGCTAACGTAGTAACGTTTGGAGCCAAAAGGCTAGCTTTTGGTCTGCAATCTGTGCAGAGTTAGTATCCTTTGTCGTGAATGACGTTTTCGCAGGACTGAATAAATGATGCCCCTTCGACGCGCCTTTTCAACCAGCATCTTTGTTGATGCCGGTACACTTAGATCATTCTGCGTCGCGCGGTCCGTTGTCCCGGAATCGTTTCTTATTGGATCTTGACTTGACTTGGGGAGGTTTTATTTTCTTCCCCGATGCTTCTTTAGCACATGCTGTCCACGCTCGTTCGCAGTCATCCATCTTCTTCAGCTTGACAGGTTGATCCTTGTTCTCTGCGTGACGATGTTTTCTGTTTCTCCAGTGTGATATTTTCCGCGACATGTTACCTAGTAAACCCAGCCTAGCGAATTATTATCAGATTTACCTGATAAGGTACTAAGGTTATTATAACTTTGATATACTACGTTAATTCGAAAAATCCTTGACGGGACGTATTCTCCAGTGATTACGATCACTCGATTCGAACTTCATATCTCGAGAGACATCATATAAATATGTACTAGATTCTAATAGTTTTTATACTATGTTTTTCCCTGAAGCCGAATCAAGCATGATCCAAAACGATGAAAATATGCATACAATAAATTCAATATGTGTGCCATCCCGTATAAAATTTTTCCAACGGAGATTAACTTAGGGAGTGTTGCACAAAATCTTGGCCATAATAATGGATTATGTTATGTATTCTGACAAAAAAACTGTGATGGGACACTGGTATAGCAGAGAACAAAACTAACGAAACAAAAATAAAGTGGCATATCATATTGCACACCAGAAGGATTGAGTAGTTTCAGTTTAGTCATCGCTGG